CACCATATAAATTTTTAAAATTTTCTAGTAATCTGAGGAGCTAAGAGACAGTAGGACAGAGTGGATAGAGAGCTGATCTTGGGGTTAGGACGAGGTGGATTCAAGTCCCACTTCTCGTATACCTTGGCTGTCTCTTAACCTGTCAATGCATCAGGCAAAGTCTCTTGAGACCTTAAGTTTCATAGCAAGTGGTGGTTGGCATTGATTGAGGGAGCTTCCTCACCAAGGGGTCCTCTTATCAACGAAATCACTGGTCTACACCAAAAACAAAAGAGAAGAGTTAGAATTACTGTCTTTCTTTACGGAGGAGTAAGTTCAGGGAAAAACCAGTGATTAGACATAGATTGTGTCAGTGATTGCATGTAAGCTTGTCGAGAAGAAGAAATGTTTCTTTTTGTCTTTAGATCCCTTTTGCTTAGCACAGTGCCCATCACACAGTAGGCACTGATAAAAGCTTGTTGGTTGGTTGATTGGGTTAGGAAATTTGGAAAGAGCACTGGAGTCAGATGCTCTGGGTTCAAATCTTGCCTGACACTACCTGTGTAACTTCAGGCAAGACCCTTAACCAGCCAGGTCCTCAGTTTCCTCATCTGTAAAATAAAATCATTGGACTGGATGGTCTCTTAGGCCCCTTCCTGATCTTGAGAAGATGATCTTTGGGTGCAGGAGGCCACAGCTCCAAAAAGCTGCCTTCCCTGTGTGCTGGATCATTTCTTAGGAGGAAAAAGGGCCTAACCTTTTCTCAGGGCTAGGGCACCCTCCTCAGGGCACAAGAGATTTTTTTCAGGGCTCTAGAGAATCATAGGGTTGTAGGAATCAGAGAAATTAAAACTGGATGGGACTTTGAGATCATCAAGTCCTACCCTCACATTTTACAGATGAGAAAACCATGGAGGTGATGACTTGTCCTGGGTCAGGTCCTACAGAGTAAGAAGCAGAGCCTGGTTTTAAACTCATGTCCTCAGAAAAGTACTTAGCACAGTGTCTGGCACATAGCATGTTCTTAATAAGTGCTTGTTTCCTTCTTTCCTTCCTTCTTCATTTCCCTCCTTCTTTCATTCCTCATTCTTTCCTTCTACCTTTCCACCCTTTCTTCTTTTCTCTCCTTCCTTCCTTCTTTCTTTGTTCCTTCCTTCCTTTTCTTCCCGTTCTTTCCTTCCCTTCCCTTCTTTCCTTCCCTCCCTCCCTCCTTCCTTCCTTCCTTCTTCCTTTCCCTTCCCTTCCTTTCCCTTCCCTTTTGCCCTTCTTTCATTTTTTCTTTTCCTTTTCCTTTATGAGGCAGATGGATTAGATGATGGTAAAAGTCCCTTCTAGTTCTAAATCTGATTTATGATCCTCTCATCTCCTTTTCCCTGCTTCACTTCCTAAGTTGAATTCAATGTTCTCCCTTCTCCTGCTTCCTTTTTTTTCTGCTAAAAATTGTGAATTTAAATCCTGAGGTAAATGTGTGCATTTGGGTTGCCTTGATGACCTGTGTAAATAATACCCTCGCACTAAATCCTCAGCTATTGTCTGAGGTTAAGCTGAATTCACTAGTGGATGGACAATTGGCTTGTCAAGCAGTGTTTCATCGGGAAAGATTAGCTTAAAACATTTTTGGATGGAACCCAGACCTTTTGGGGTTTATGTTAAGCTGGAGTGAATGTAACGAGCTCAGAAAAGGAAAAGCACATTTTTATCACATCTAGAAGGTGTCCAGTTTCAATGGTGGCTTTAAAATATTTTGTAATATATTCATTTTACAACACAGCACTTCAGAATTTATTACAGTCCTTGGTCCAAAATGGACTTCATTAAAACATGCCAAAAGACAGGATTACTCATTTCAAATACAATATTTATTTTTTATAATTATACTTCATTTTAACATTCGCTTTTTAAAAATTTTAAGTTCCAAATTCCTTCTCTCTAGCCCCTCCTCCACCCATTGAGAAGGTAAACAATATGATATCATTTATACATGTGAAGTCATGCAAAACATATTTCCATATTAGCCACGTTGCAAAAAAAAAAGAAAGCATGAAAAACAAAGTGAAAAAAAAATTATGTTTCCATCTGCACTTGTGGTACATCAGTTCTCCCTCTGGATGTAGATAGCATTTTTCATCATGAGTCCTTTGGAATTGTCTTGCATCATTATACTGAGTAGAGTCCTTCACACTTGATCATCATTATTATATTGCTGGTATGGGGCAGCTAGGTGACACAGTGGATAGAACACCAGCCCTGGATTCAGGAGGACCTGAGTTCAAATCTGGCCTTAGACACATAATACTTACTAGCTGTGTGACCCTGGGCAAGTCACTTAACCCCATTGCCTAGCCAAAAAAAAAAAAGCAAAAACAAAAAATAATAATATTGCTGTTACTGTGTACAATGTTCTCCTGGTTGTGCTCATTTCACTTTGCATCAGTTCATGTAAGTCTTCCCGGGTTTTTCTGAAACCATCCTCCTTGTCATTTCTTGTAACATAATAATATTCCATCACAATCATATACCACAACTTGTCCAGCCATTCCCCAATTGATGGACATCCCCTTAATTTCCAGTTCTTTGCCACCACAAATAGAGTTGCTATAAACAAAATATTTATTAGTCATATAATGCATGCATATTGAATACTTGAAACTGACCTAAGGCACGACAGTTCTGTAACTTATTAAAAGGTCTGTGCACTTAACAAAAATGTGAGCACATACAGTTAACACCCATGTCTTTAAGAACATATGGATAGCCCCCTTTTGGACTCTTAAATACTCATTTCTGAGAGCAACTTGCCTTTGTAAAGAAGTATCAGTTTCTCTAGTTGACAGGAAATGTTAGTAGAGGGAGGGTAATGGAGAGAGTTGAGGGGTTGGGGAGAAGAAATCCAAGGTGACTAGGAGGTGAGAGCAGTAAAGACCAAACTTTGAATTAGAATATTATTGGACAGCTCACTTGGGTGAGAAAGATGCTATACAAAAACTAAACAAAACAGAAATACACACACACACACACACACACACACACACACACACACACACCCCTTGTCTCTCAAGGAGTTTACTTTCAAAAAAAAATTTTTTTTTCCCTTGCTGCCATAGAGAAGAACATAGGGAAAGTCTCTCATGGGTAATTCAAATCAAGGAATATTTAAGTGCCCTCCGTCCTCCCTGTTTTGTGCTCAAAATTTTACCCGTACCTAGAACATCTTCCCTCTTCTTTTTTTTAATCTGTTGAATTCCTAACCACCCTTCAAGTTTTAATTTAAATGTCACTTTCCCCAGAAAGCTTTCCTTGATTCCACCCACCCTCACTCGCACCCTAAGTTAATAAGGACCTTATTAAATTTTTATACCTTGGAAATAGGTACAAATCAGGGCTTGATTTATTGTTTTGATGATTGTCTAGACTTTTAAAAGTGATAGAGAGAGGCAGTTAGGTGGCACAGGGGATAGACCACTAGCCCTAGAGTCAAAAGGATCTGAGTTCAAATCCAACCTCAAACGCCAACAGGGTGACTCCAGACAAGTTACTTAACTCTAAATGCTTCTAATTTTTTTTATTGATCAATAGAGATAATTTATCTTGTAAATAGCTTGCTTTGTATATACTTGTTTGCATGTTGTCTCACTCATTGGATTGTAAGCTCCTTGAAGGCGGAGACTGCATTTTGCCTCTTTCTGTATCTTAAATACTTAGTACAGTCCTTTGACACATAGTAAGCATTTAATAAATGTTTATTGATGTATTGACCTGTCTCTCACAAAAAGAGATTCTTCTCTTTGCCAAAGCAAACCCCTATATATGCATCTTTGATCCTCTCCCTTCCCATCTTTTCTAACAGATTGCCTCCTCTATCATCCCCACTCTCTTCTTTGTAAGCTTTCCCAGTCTACTGGCTCCTTGCTATTGCCCATGTCTCCCCCATCCTTAGCTTCCTCCAGGGCTCAACTAAGGTATGGGATATTAGCTCTCCCTGATTCCTATAGTCATAAGTGCTTTCTTCCTCCTCAAATTACCCACTACTACCTGATCTGTGCAAAGGTTATATTTCCCAGTGGAATATAAGTATCTAGAGGGCAGGAACTCTTTTTTATTTTGTCGTTGTATCCCTAATGCTTAGCATAGTGTCTTGCATATGGTAGAGAAGGAAAGAGACTTGGTTAAGTGACTTGCCTAGGGTCACATAGCTAGAAGGGTCTGAATCTGGATTCAAACTCAAGTCTACCTGACTCCAGGACCATACTCTTATCTACTGTACCACCAGCTGCAATGATAACCTGGAAAAGAACTGAGGGGTAGAGGGATTAGAAGTCCTTGTGAGAATGAAGAATATGGTCAGAGGTCATAAAGCGAGGGAAACGATGGAAATAATAAAATGCTAAGACAAAGGCATTTCAGAGTTCATGAACATGGAATTAGAACACTTGTAGGTGATGGCAAGATCAACAGTGTGATCGTATCTATGTGTAGTTGAGGTGGAGTAGAGAAGTGGGTCATGTGAATTGAGTAGATTGAGGGATTGGTAAGTTAAAGTATTTGAGGGAATATCAATATTTAGATTGAAGTCTCCTGGTATGAGAACAGGAGTGGTGGGAGAGAAAAAGATGTGACCCAAGCATTGAAATCTTCATAGTGCTTAATAAATGTTGGTTGAAATGTCATATCTAAAGGGAGTATCCCCACTAATCCTTAAAATGTTAAAGTAATTATGCCTCTGTCATTTTTCTAGATAAACATTTATGATATTTTTAAGTTTTAAAAGCACAGTTTAGAATAACCTAGAGATTACTTGCCCAGAATAAGTAGGAATATCTTCATGTGTGTGTCCTATTAAAAGAAAACCTGATATTCCAAATGTGAATTTATAACAGATGGATTAAAAAGTGATTAAAAGCACCACAGAATGTTCACTCCTGGTTAGTATATCAGAGCTTTTATGATCATAAATTTAGAGTTGAAAGAGACTTTTTTATTCCATAAATTAGCCCACTTATTGTTGGACTATGTATGGGCTACAGATATTTGATAAGAAGATTTTACTGGTCTTCCAATTCCATCAGTCTTCTGATGGCAGATTTGACTGTGACTGCAGAGGAGGTATTGTAGGTCCATGCACCACCAGCTACTGTTTTTATACAGGATCCACAATGCCAGATACCCACAGCCCATCTCTTCATTTTGGTCTTGCCAGAGAAGGAGCCAGTATACTTGGCATGCTGGCTAATTTCAGTTTTCTTTACCATTTTTCTGAAGGATGCACCATAACATATTCCATATTTACCAACAATTCCAACATTCTTGGTACGTTTCTCTATGTTGCCAGTTGTGGGACCAGAACTTGGAGAGCAAAGAACGTAGTGCCTGAAAGAGACTTTTGAGATCATCTAGCCCAGCTTCTTAATTTTACAAATGAGGAAACAAATTCAGAGAAGTTAAGTGATTTATTGAAAGTCACCCAGGTTGTTAAGTGGCAGAGCCAGGATTTCAACCCCACAGTTCTTTGACCCCAAATCCATTATTCTATTTACCAAATTTTATATCTGTACAACTTTTTAAGTCAAATTAGAGTTTTACTGATTTGACCAAAGGCCAGTAAAAGAATCACTTTGAAAAGAATAAATTATATTGATGATTTTTATTTTTACATCATGGTTATTTCCTGATATGCACTCCCCACCCTCAAATGAGCCTTCCCTCCACTATAACAAGGAAAAACCCTTTGTTGATACCAACAACACAGTGATTGAATCTAACGGTGTGAGCAACATTCCACCCCCCCCCCCCATATTCCTTCATGTCTCCACCAAAAGCAGGCAAGGAAAAGCATTACTTTTCGGAAAGTGGATCTACCACATAAATGGAGGTATACTATAGATAGAGCATGGTTTTATCTTTATTTTCTGCCTGGTAGATTTGACATAGAACTGATGATTCCCTGATTAAAACCTTCATAAATCTCTGTGTGCCTTTAAAATATGATTTCTTATGCTCATGATACCTAGTCATTAAATCAAGCAGTGTCCTTGATATGAAATTATAAATCACTGAGTTGAAGGAGACTTTTAAATATCTTATTATTTTCTCTCTGTTGGTTGGCTAAAGATGTCGTTATATCTGTTTTACATTTCTACAAGCGTCTTCTTAAATGCATTCATTTAGGTGCACTCGGCATTCATGCGTAGCAAATGACTCATTCTTGGAACATTTTACTCTGTAAAGAAAAGAATACAAATGTTCCTCTTAACCAGGAAATAACTCATGTTCCACAATTCTGTCACTTGGTTAATACAAACTTCACATTTTGAGACCTGGTAATGAATTGAGTCCATTCTCTTTCTCACAGTATATAACAATCCTGCCCCTTTCTAACAGACAGACATAACAACAGGATTGTGCAATATGTAGTTGATTCCATTCCAGTTACTATTGTAACTTATAAGATTTTTAGATGAAATTTGGGGTTCTGTTTGAAGATGCAAATGTTCTGTTTAGCCAAAGATCCAAAATGTAATGTAAATATATTAAGTCCATTGCAAATGCCACTACTCATATTATATGAGAATGTGTCTGTAAGGAGAGATTCAAGTGGAAGAAAACAATAAACTATAATAATTCTCTTCTTATTCTGCCTTTTCCTGTTGCTCCCAGATGTGCCATAAAATGGAACCAAGCTGAAACTAAGTTGACTACCATCTTTCCTGCTGCAAGCTAAGATTTCAGGAAGCACAGGAAAACTGGACAAAACTGTGTTGAGCCTGGAACAACCCAATCAGTTTAGATAGTAGGGAGGATTATCAATGAATCAAAGACCTGGGAAGAAAAGGGAAACATCCTGGGTCAGGGAGGGGAAGGACTTGATAAAAGAAAAGACAGGGTGCAGCTAGGTTGCTCAGTGGATAGAGCTCCAGCCTTGGAATCAGGAGAACCCAAATTCAAATACGGCCTCAGACACTTAACACTTACTACCTATGTGACCTTGGGCAAGTTACTTAACCCCAATTGCCTTACCAAAAAAAAAAGAAAGAAAGAAAGAAAAGAAAGAGGAGACAGAGTAGTAGAAGAATGTGTTCAAGAGCACATTTCATCTACTCTCCTGCAGGCAAAAAAATCCTCTTGAAAAGAACTAGAATACGCCCTGTGTCTCTACGTCACCCAAATCCCAGTGTATAGAGCTACTTTGGCCATAGTCTCTGATCTCCACATAGAGTTACAGGTCTTCTGACCAAGGCTTATTCTTAGGAGTCTTCATTTGATTCTTATGGGTTACATATTAGAATTTATCAGTCTTAGTACTTTGAAATGAGAGACAGAGGGAGCGGAGTCAAGATGGCGGAGTAAAAGCAGTGACTTGCTTGAGCTCTCTACCAAACCCCTCCAAATACCTATAAAAAATGGCTCTAAACAAATTCTAAATCAGCAGAACCCACAAAAAGACAGAGTGAAACAAATTTCCAGCCCAAGACAACCTGGATGGTTGATCGGAAAGGTATATCGTGCCGGGTGGGGAGAGGAGCGCAGTTCCGCATGGGTGCGCAGGCCACAGCGGCCCTAGAGCATGTCTCAGAGGACTGAATCACAGGCAGCTGTGGTGGTTTCCAGACTTCTCAACCTATAAACGCCAAAGACAACTTGGAAGGTCAGTGGGAAAAGTCTATGATTACGGTGAGAGAGAAGCTAGGTCTCAGCTGCAAGTCCTGAGCGTGGCCTAGGGCTGTGGCTGCCTCCTGAGCTTCCGGCCTACAGACCGAGGGGGAATTCAGTGGCTGATCAGAGGGGGATTGCAGGAATCTCTTTGCCAGTGCTGAGGCAGGAGTCTCTTGCTTTACCCGTGCTTGGATCTGGGTCACAGTTCTGAGGGGCAGTCCTGGGGCTAGGAGGAACGCTGGTGCGGTGGAGCTTGTTGCAGCAGTGGAGAGGAAACACCTCGCCCCTTATCACAGCACCTTGGAAAAACTGAAAATTTACAGTCCCTAGAAGTATCTCTGAAAACAGCTGTACAAACCCCCAAACCTTGGGACAGTACATTCTCCACATTAGAAGCAGACTTTTACCGTAACAAAGAGTTTAAAACTCAAGTAATTGGCCAGGATCATGAGTAAGCAGCGCAAAAAGAGTCAGACTATGTTAACTTACTATGGTGACAAAGGTCAAAACATACAACCAGAAGAAGACAACAAAGTCAAAGCTCCTACATCCAAAGCCTCCAAGAAAAATATGAATCAGTCCCAGGCCTTGGAAGAGCTCAAAAGGGATTTTGAGAAGCAAGTAAGAGAAGTAGAGGAAAAACTGGGAAGAGAAATGAGAGTGATGCAAGAAAATCATGAAAAGCAAGTTAACAGCTTGCTAAAGGAGACCCAAAAAAATACTGAAGAAAATAACATCTTAAAAAATAGCCTAACCTAAATGGCTAAGGAGGTCCAAAAAGCCAATGAGGAGAAGAATGCCCTAAAAAGCAAAATTGGCCAAATGGAAAAGGAAGTCCAAATGATTACTGAAGGAAATACTTCCTTAAAAATTAGAATAGAGCAATTGGAAGCTAGTGACTTTATGAGAAATCAAGACACTGTAAAACAAATCCAAAAGAATGAAAAATTAAAAAACAATGTGAAATATCTCATTGGATGAACAACTGACCTAGAAAATAGGTCCAGGAAAGAGAATTTAAAAATTATTGGACTATCTGAAAGCCATGATCAAAAAAAGAGCCTAGACATCATCTTTCAAGAAATGATCAAGGAAAACTGCCCTGATATTTTAGAACTGAAGGGCAAAATAGAAATTGAAAGAATCCACTGATCTCCTCCTGAAAGAGATCCCCAAAGGAAAACTCCTAGGAATATTGTAGCCAAATTCCAGGGTTCCCAGGTCAAGGAGAAAATATTACAAGCAGCCAGAAAGAAACAATTCAAGTATCAAGGGATAACACAAGATATAGCAGCTTCTACATTAAGGGACCAGAGGGCACGGAATATAATATTCTGGAGGGCAAAGGAGATAGGATTACAACCAAGAATCACCTACCCAGCAAAACTGAATATAATCCTTCAGGGGAAAAAAATGGTCATTCAGGAAATAGAGGACTTTCAAGCATTCCTGAGGAAAAGACCAGAACTGAAAAGAAAATTTAACTTTCAAATACAAGACTCAAGTGGAACATGAAGAGGTAAACAGGAAAGAGAAATCATAAGACACTTATTAAGGTTGAACTGTTTACATTCCTGCATGAAAAGAAGATATTTGTAACTCATGAGACCTTTGTCAGTATTAGGGTAGTTAGAGGGAAAGAATTATATGTATGTATGTATAGATAGATAGATAGAGGGCACAGGGTGAGTTGAAGATGAAGGGGTCATATCTGGAGAATAAAAGTAAGGGGTAAGAGAAGATTATACTAAGAAAAGGAGAAAGGTAGAGGCAGATTGGGGTAACTTATCTCACAAAAAAACAGAAAAGACTCTTACAGTGGAGGGGAAATGGGGGAAGGCCAGAAGGAATGAGTGAATCTTATTCTCATAGGATTTGACTTAAGGAGGGAATAACATACACACTCAGTTGGGTATGGAAATCTGTCTTACCTTACAGGAAAATAGGAGGGGAAGGGGACAAAAGAGCAGGGGGATGATAGAGAGGAGAGAAGATTGAGAAAGGGGGTAATGAGAAGCAAATACTTCTGAGGAGGGACAGGGTCAAAAGAAAGAATAGAATAAATGGGGGCGTAGGATAGGATTAAAGGAAATAGAGTTAGTTTTTCACAGCATGTATACTATGGAAGTGTTTTGCATAACTGCACATGTATAAGCTGTCTTGAGTTGCTTGTCTTTTCAATGAACGTGGGTGGGAAGGGAGGAAGGGAGAAAATCTGGAACCCAAAGTTTTAAAAACACATGTTTAAAAAAAATGTTTTCACATGCAACTGGGAAATAAGAAATACAGGAAATGGGGTACAGAAATCTATCTTGCCCTACAGGAAAATAGAAGGCAAAGGGGATAAGAGAAGGGGAGGGAGACATAGCAGGGAAAGCAGACTAGGGTAAAGGGGTATTCAGAATGCATGCCATCTTGGGGTGGGGGGAGGGGCGAGATGGGGTGAACATTTGGAACTCAAAATCTTGTGGAAGTAAATGTTGAAAACTAAAAATAAATAAATTTTATTTAAAAAAAAAAAGAAATGAGAGGCAGAGTGGCCTAGGATAGAAAGCCGCTTCAGAGTCAGGAACCCCTGGGTTTAAACCCTGCTTCATAGCCCTGAGCAACTCATATACCCTCTGAGAGCCCCAGGAAATTATTTGAGATTATATGTTGTAGAGAAAGTGTCCAACTGCATTGATAAAGGGAGC